GATGCTAGTTGCAATTTTGATGTTCAGAATTGTAGTAATATTCGACATTTGAGAGTCAAGTCCAATGGAGAGGGTCTTCCAACCATTCCAAGAAGTGTTGCTCAAAGGTTGCATTCTTTGTTTTCAAATGTTGATGTTTTTTGTAGCATGGCGTTAGATCTCAAAAGCTTGCGATCCTTGAAATTAAAGGGAGGTTGGAAAAAGTTGCCAGCTTCTCTTGGCAAATTGAAGCATTTGAGGTACCTTGACATCTCAGAAACTCATTTCAGAACAGTACCAAAATCATTCTCCAAGCTCTATAATTTGCAGACTTCAAAATTTGTCAACTGTTATAATCTTGAAAAGCTTCCCAATGGCATGGCAAATCTCATCAACTTGAGGCATATCTATTCTAGTCGTCCAAGGGATATATCTATCATGCAGTTAACTTCCCTTCGAACATTATCACACTTTGCTGTGGGCACAAAAAAGGGATGCCAGATTGAACACCTTGGATGCCTAAGCCAACTTGAAGGAAAACTAGAGATTTCGAAGCTTGAATATGTACGATCCAAATTAGAAGCCTCTAAAGCAAACCTGAAAGAAAAGACAAAATTGCATCAATTGAAATTACGCTGGAGTAGTGGCTATGAAAGAGCAGTCAACAACAACGATGAAGAGGTTCTACAAAGCTTTCAACCTCATTCAAATTTGAAAAGCCTCACTATTGATGGTTATAAAGGAAAGATGTTTCCATCGTGGATCGTGAATGATGTCAGTAGTTCTGGTTCTTCATTCCTTCTCTACAACATGGTGGAGTTGTGGCTAATTAACTGCTATGAGTGCACGTGTATTCCGAGTTTGGGACTAATGCCTTGTCTCAAGGTTCTTTACATTGAAAGAATGGAAAATGTTAGAAGAATGGGTCACCAGCTTCAGCCCAGTGGAGCAGAATCAATTAGATTGTTCCCAGCTTTGAAAACACTCACCGTGCGTGGCATGAAAAGGCTAGAGGAATGGGTTGAAGTTGTTGAGGATGCAGTTGCAGGGAGCCAAGGTGTGATCGTGTTTCCTTGCGTTGAGGAGTCGTGCATTGTTGATTGTCCTTTGTTGAAGACTTGGTCGATGGGTGGATTTTCATCTCATCACAAGCTCTCCGAGCTGCAGATATGCTGGTGTTCGAAACTGATGGCTATCCCTGGTGTAGATGGGCTCTCAACTCTTAAAAAGTTAGAGCTCAAGGGCTGTAATGGATTAAGAAGTCTACCAATTGGGCTTGGATCCTGCATCTTTCTTCAGTTCTTGGGAATTGAAAGTTGCCAAAATCTGAACTCCGTTCCAAGTATGAATGAGCTCACATCTCTTGAAGGCCTCTACCTTTCTCGTTGCAATGGATTAACGTGTCTTCCAATTGGACTGGACTCTTGCATTTCATTTCAGGAGTTGAAAATTAAATGTTGCCCTAATTTAATTTCCATTTCTGACGATATCGAGAAATTGCGTTCTCTCAGTATTCTTAGAATAACAGATTGTGAAAATCTAAGGAGCCTTCCGGAGGAGTGGCTAGATAGCCTCACCCGCTTGAAGAAGTTACGCCTTGGTCCTTTCTGGTTGGAGTTGGAGGAATTCCCCGGATTGACCTCCATTCATCAATTCCACGCCTCTCTTGAAGTATTGATCTTGTTGGGATGGGATAAACTAAAGTCTCTGCCACATCAGCTTCGACATCTCACTGCCCTCAAGCAATTGATGTTAGAGAACTTCAATGGCCTAGAAGCTTTGCCAGAGTGGTTGGGAGACCTCTCTTCTCTTCACAGGCTGGTGATTTGGGATTGCTCTAATTTGACTCATCTGCCTTCTATTGAAGCCATGCAAGGCCTCTCCAACTTACAGCATCTTCGCATTTGGTATTGTCCCAAATTGAAGAAAAGATGCGCCCAAAGGAGGGGCCCCGAATGGTCCAAGATCTCCCACATACCCAATATCCAAATCCATGGCAAGGATGTGCGGGGGAAATACAAACCCTCCATGGGTATGTTTAATTTCTGGAAGCCTAATCCCCTCATTCCACATCATTTAAATATTACGCTAATCAGAAATTTAACGACTGTAAAGCATTTCTTTTAATCTTTTACTTTGGGAAAAAACACATCCTCTCCTCTAAAACATATTATGCTATTCAAAATAATCAAGTTTTAGTCTTTGACTAAATTTCGGTAATTCATACAGATTTGTGGTTCTAAATATTTTGCGCATCTACTCAGGCCTCAGGGTTCCTCTAAAGCTAGTGAGTTCCTGAATTCCTTTCTGCAATCCTTCTGTTCATTTTTATTTTCATTCCAATTCCATAGCTATGTTTTTTTGGTTTTTACCAATAGGTCCTTTCTTATTTTCATAATTCTCAGGCATCAATCACTCAAGCAGCCATGGCCTAATTGTGAACTAATGCATAATCAAATGCTTAGATTAGCCAATTGTAAATCTCTAATGGAGTAGAAGACTAGCAAGACTAACAATCAAAAGCCATCATTTTTGAGGTCTGCTTTCTTTTCTTTATAATCCAACTTTTAGATTTTGAGTATGTTTAGTTTTTTTCTTTTGTGTTTTTCTATGTTCAACTCTGTTTTGTTCAGCTATGTTCATTAAACTAATTACAGGCAATCTAATTTTCCTGCTCTGAAACCAAAAAAATATCATGATGATTGGAGGGAATTATCACACTAGGGACCTAACCAGATGAGTAGTCCTCTCTTTGAGTTGTTGAGGCTCATAAACAGATTTAGCTATTCTACAGTCATGTAGTTTTCGATTTATGACCTCATTTTGAGGTGCAAGTTTACTGGTATATAGACATTTGTCTTGTTGATCAAAGTCTTGAGCTGTCTTGGATTGCCAGTCTAAGTGGACTGCCCTACAAAGGTGGGTTGTGAAACTAAAAATCATCTTTTAATTAAGATTTGATTTTATTTTGCTAGTATTTGACTTCACTTTGGTGATTATGATTCACCAATAAAAGTTACATATAAGTTTAGCAAAAATGATATACTTCTTTACTTGGTTAAGGAATGATCTGTAGAAATCTATATTGACACATTTTCAATCATGGTTGTTGAAATTTCTTCAGGGTTACTGTGCCAAATGCCTGATTATTTGTGCAAGCTGAACTGTTATTTCTTCAGTGGCTCTCTCTTGTTAGAACCTACACCGGAGTTTCTTTAGGTTTGTCTTGTTACTTTGAAGTCATATGTGCCTTTAATCAATTTATAAATTTAATCAGTTTAATATCATATTGAATCAAAACTTTAAGCAAAGAATTTATTCCATTTCAAGTTAGAGATTACGGTGTTTTTGCGACTTGCTACTTTGCAAACTGTTAATGATCAAATCTGGAGTCTGGACTCCTTACTACTTTGTGAACTGCAACATTTTGAGAACATGCTTTTCCAATTGACAAGAGCACTGCAGATTCACTAGCATAAATCATGGCTGCAGTCCTTTCAATTTTTCTTGAAACATACAGATCCTGGTGCCATCGATTATGTATACACACATTTTGCAGTAGTGAGGAAAGCATTGAATTTTACTTGGAATTAACCAACAGATCAACTCTTCCAACATTTCTTAGGCTCTTGTGGTTTTATGGTAGAATATCTCATTCTTAACTGTACGTATAGATGGTACGGCGTTTCAAACCATTTTCTTTGAATCTAAAACATATTATACCTTAGTTGAATAAATTCTCTATACAACTTTGAGTTTGATGATGTAATAATGGACATGCAATCAACAAATGGAGTGAAGAGAAATTGACAATGGGATCCCTGTGCAAGTGATTGCTCGTAAAACGATCTCAATAGCTCCAATGTGGTTATGATAGAATTATAACTTTCTAAGTTTTCCCCTTTAAAAGGCATTCCAATATTTTCATCTTGCTTTGTAGATGTAATTGATGGAAATGAGTAAAAAGGGCAACCGTCAGCATCTAGGAATAAGTGATATTGAACAGATGGAGATGTTTTGTTTCAGGGATTTATCAAACAATGGTTTAATCAGAGAAGTGCAAAACTTCTGTCTCAGCTAGTCTTGTTGAAGAAACTGTAAGTGCCAATTGCATTTTGAAGGGTTCATTTCTTCTTTTGCCAATTTCTTTTATTTGGTTATACTTATACATATAATGGACTCTTAGTCAAAGAAGGGATTATGATGACAGACATTGAAGGCACAAATTGGATAAAATGAACTCTCTTTTGTTCTTATTCACTTGTGCTTTGTCCTCTTACTTTATGATGCATATGTTCTTAATAGATTACTTATAAATTGATAACTTTGGGTTTGCAGTCAAAATTTAGCTTGTTAGTAATTCTATTTTAGCGGGAGCTTTTGATGTACTCCTTGTCTTCTTACTCTGCTAATATCTCGGAGATGGGGAATGCAATGAAAACAGAATGATTGGAGCTGAAATTCAGTCTATTTCAGTGTTCATCAAAGCTGGTAAGTCCTTGTCCTCCAAATTCTCTCTTTTCTCTACACTAATTACATTTTCTTCAGGTTGCTTTTTTCTAAACTTATTTTGTTTCATTCTTGTTTCTGACATATTTCATCATACTTCTCATACCACTACCAGGAAAACATTTACAAGAATGCATGTAGCAGTTCATTTGTTCGTTTTGATTCATGTCTTAAAGCAGATGCGAACAAGATTATATGCGTCACTTTCTAAAATGCAAGGGGCAGTTAGAGATAGAGGATGTGAACGAGAAAAAAAGACGTACATCAAAAGAAAAGGTAGTGATTATGAAGCAAAAATTAAACTGTGTTGATTGGCATTTCATTTATTTTGATTTGATTCATTTCTAAAGAATAAGACGAACCTTTGTTTCTTCAGTGCCTCTGTTCTTTGCCTTGGAAAGCTATGGCAGAAATCCGCTAAGGCTCATAAAGTGTCTTCAAGTGGACGCTGTAATATGTTTCAGTGTCTGAACCTGTACCTGTTTCATTCTCATTTGTTCTCCATTTTCTTGTTGTATTACTTGTTTTCTCTTTCCTCTTGCTGTTATTGTGATTGTTTGAAGATGATTTTTTAGTGCTCTCTTGATATAGTAGAGCTATTTTTCATGGACTAGAAGCGCCGTGGTTTACTTTTCTATTTGAAGAGGTTTTCCACGTAAAATTTGTCTCTTATGAGTGTTTGTTTGCTTTAGTCATTGTTATTTGTTTACGTATTTAGTTGCCGTCATATTTGTTGACCTGAAAAAGGAACTGATTTCATAAACCTTTCAAGTGTCACCTGCCATCTTGAATCACATTTCCAAATATGGGTCTAATAACAATATTCATCGGTAAATATTTCCGAAACAAAGCCTAGAGGGAGTTTTGTGGAGTATTCCCTTATTAGTTTAAGATTATGTCTTACAGGCAAAATAAAAAATACCCTGAAAAAAAATATTTTTGTATAAAATGATTTATTTATAAGGTGGATTCAGCTGGTAAACTCTTAGAGATAAATAATTGGATCAAGTTAATTTGTACTAAGTTAATAATTCTTCAAGCCTACTAACTTAGTGTTATATTGTTTTAATAAAAATAAAGGCTTTTAAATTTAAATTATATAATATGTAGATAACAGATATTAAGAATGAAAAATGATTATCTTTATATCAAAAGTACAAAAAAAAAAAAGTTGATAATATTTTTTAAATAGGTTTTGTGAGAAAAAGGTAAACATAAATATTTCTTTTCTCGTTGGCAATAACAAAATGAAAAAAAAAAAAATGCAATATCTAATTGTACTAAAACTGGTTAGTTTTAATAAACATTTTTAATTCCTACAAAATAAATATTTTTAACTCTATTTTAAAATTCCACATATTTAATAAACAATATTCAATCCCGCCTAAAAGCTAAAGAATTTTCTCTACCCACATATATGCGAATTAAGATTTATTCATAAATAGCATATATATATTATTTATATAAAATTTTAAGTATTTATCTATTTATTATGAATAATTAAAGCTTATCCATTATTTATAATAAGATTAATACCTATCAGTCTCGACTCTAAAAA